CTACTACTACTACTACTACTACTACTACTACTACTACTACTACTACTACTACTACTACTACTACTTCCTTTAAGCTTTTTTGACTTGTAATTTTCGTAATTATTGAGTGATTAATTTACTAATGATTACAATTTTCTTTTTTAATTAAGAGACTGTTCTCGATTTGTTTTTTCGTAGCGGAAAGTTAACCTCTCCGAAATGGAAAACGTTCAAGGGCATGAAATTAGGATGGAAGGACAAGATTCGTCTCAACAACGTCATCTGGCGATGCTGGCACATACAGTGTAGGTGGCGCCACCTGCCGCGGACGATTCGTTTTGTCGTTAGCGTTGTCGTCGTCGCTCGTTCCGGCGCATCAGGGGAACCTTTGGTTGAAAAGCAAAATTCAAATGCAAAATCAACAACAATAACAACAACAATATAGTTCATCGCACGTACACTGGGGGGGGGGAGGGTATCCCATGATCGCAAGTCGGGGTTATTTTCGGCCGACAGTGAAAACACGATCGCCGACGCTCTCCGTCTATCTCGTCTTTTCGATTCTAAGCTCGGATGTGAGTGCGCACGTTTTTTTTTATCGCGGGAGCGTTTTTTTTTCTCGGAAGTTTCCTGAAGCCATAGTCGCTACGAGGCAGATGCGGTCCTGGCTCTGGTTTGGGAATCTGTATTCTGGATCCGTCTATCTGGCCGGACGGTAAACCGGTTCGAGGAAACTGTCGTAAAAACGCGCGCAAACAGAGTGCGTGTGCGAAAGCGAGTGCGTTAATTAAGATCTGTCGCTGTCCGTCATTCCGTGCCTACGCGAATTTTAAATATTTCTGACTCGCTGCTGAACTTGCGATGAAAAGGGGAAGACAATTACGGGGGCTGTGAGGTAATTTGACTTGCAACGTGTGAAATGCGGCATTGTCGTGTTTTCACGTTCTCCCGTTTATCGGATATCCTGTTCTGAATTCCGTAGAAGATATCCTGTGCGTGTACGCGTGTGCATCAGTTTCCCCTGGTTACGTTGTTGCCCTTGGTTACATTCCAGGGCGGGCTCGCCATTATTTATTTACGCGTCGCTGTGCTACTGTGTCTACATGTATCATGGATGAATGTGTGTTTTACCCATGGATGTGTGCTCTTTAATGTTTGAGTGTTCTCTTGCTTGGTGTTGAGTGGCTGGAATCCCGTGTAGATACAGGTTAAGTAGTGTACACACATGCGCAGTGTGTGCGTGCGTGCGTGCGTGCGTGTGTGCGTGCAGTGGTGATTCATTTAAGGTCTAGCATTATAAGCACATCAGGCGACCCCACCACGTACAAGCATTGTGGCCCCTCACAAGGGTGAACCATTACAGAGGCTGAGAGGGTCTATGTCCCCCAGGGTACTATCGGGGGGGTATCCTGGGTACGGTTTGATATATAATATCGGAACGTACCCTGGTACTATCTAATATGCCGGACCGTACCTCGCCTACTCCACTAACGAGTCGGAGTCGCCTACGCCTACTCCCTAACCCTAACCCTAATCCTAACCCTAGCCCTAACCCTAACCCTAACCCTAACCCTAACCCTAACCATATCAGATAGTTACCAGGGTACGTTCCGATATATCGAACCGTACCCAGGGTACCCTTCGATAGTACCCTGGGGGGCATAGACCCTATGAGCATTACAGAGCCTGTCGTAAACAACCGTAGTGAAAGTCGATATATCACTTTCCTTTAAGCAGCCTCCCCACCGAAGTAATGCAATGTGTTGGCTCGATTTTTTCCTCTGCTGGACTGGTTCCTAGTGGCCATGACCGATTGAGGATGCCCGGGTCGAACCGATTGGGTGCCAGTCTATATTGCACCGGCCTTCCTGAACTCCGGTCCGTAGCTACGGCAACAAACGCAGTCGGGCAGGAGTATTTACTTTGAATTTTTTCTGTGCTTGCTTTTTTTTCTCCTTTCTGCAATTGCACTGGAACTGGAGTCACGAGCGCACAGTGAGCGTGCGTCTGTCCGTCTGAATTTTTCACTAGGGTTGTTTACGACTATGCTTTGTAACGGTCTGACCTTATTCAAGGTCACGGTGCGTGTTGTGTGTGGTTGGGGGTCGCTTGCTGTGACGACGGATCTTGATGAATCATTACTACACCCACAAGATTTCCGTGATTCTGCCAATTCTCGATTCGTCGTGCTGACGAAACCCCAAACGAAACCCAAGGTAACATCTGGTGTGGCATGTGCTCACACGTGTGCATGTGTGCGTGTGCTCACACTGTGGGTCTGTGTGTGTGCGTGTGCGTGCGTGCGCGTGTGTGAGTGCGTGTGTGCGCATGTGTGCGTGTGCGCAACGTACAGAAAGTGAATTTATCCGAGTCTTTGTTGTCATTTGTTGTGGTTGTTATTTGTTGCTATTGTTGTTGTTTTTATCTTTGTTGTTGTTCTTTATCATTTGTTTGTTGTCGTCGTATGCTTTATGTCGTATTCCTCGCCACCGTTATTGCTTCGCCTGCGTTGCTGCTCGCTAGCTGCTGCTGCTGCTGCTGCTGCCTGCTTCTCTGCTGCTGCTCTGCTGCTGCTGCTGTGCTGCTCTGGTGCTGCGCTGCTGCTGCTGCTGCTGTGCTTGCTGCTGCTGCTGGTGCGCTGTCTGCTGCTGGTGTGCTGCTGCTTACGCTGCGCTGCTGCTGGTGCTGCTGCTGCGTGCTCGCTGCTGGTTAGCTGCTTGGCTGCTGCGTGCTGCTGGCTGCTGCTGGCTGCTGCTGTGCTGCTGCTGTCTGCTGCTGACTGCTGTTGCTGCTGCTTTCTGCTGCTGCTGACCTGCTTGCTGGTGCTGCTGTCGCTGTAGTCCGGAGCAGTGGTAGTGACTGTGGCAGTACCCCCAGTGTTACATAATAGTACAGTATAGTATGCTAAGCTACAGTGCAGCACAGTACAGTACAGCAGCAGCAGTAGTGTGGCACTAGCAGCCACTAGTTGTTAGTTGTTAGTTGTTAGTTGTTAATTCCTTCACGGCGTGTAAATCCATGGCTTAGTAATCGGCAGACGCACAGGCGCGTGCCTCGTTGCCACGTCATCATCACCACCCAAGCTCTCGGGCGATGCGCACACACAGCCGACCCCAGTTATGTTGGCTATCATACAAACAGTTACGCTCAAGGGGGGGTCGTTGTCGTATCAGGTACTACAGATATTACTCCGAAGTACAGCTCATAGGGTCTATGTCCCCCAGGGTACTGCCGGAGACGTACCCTGGGTACGGTCCAGTATACCGGAACGTACCCTGGTCACTATTTGATTATGGCTAGGGTTAGGATGAGCGGGTTAGGATTAGGGTTAGGGAGTAGGCGTAGGTGATCCCTAGACTCGTTAGTGGAATAGGGGAGGTACGGTCGCGGAATATAGATAGTACCAGGGTACGTTCGCGGTATACCGACCGTACCCAGGGTACGCTCGGCAGTACCCCGGGGACATAGACCCTCTCAGCCGAAGTACATATATGTATACACAAAGTGTACCAGATTGTACTACAGAAGTGTACCCTAACCCTAACAAAGGCCTACCCTAACCCTAAACTACCCTAACCTTAACGTCTAACCCTAGGCGCCTAAACAGTCACCTCATATAAAAATATAAACATAATACTAAACTCAACGCTAAACTTACCTCGGTGTACATATCTGTAGTACCTGAATACGACAACGGACCCCTATCTGCCCAACAGCTTAACAACTGCCAACATCACGTAGGAAAAATGCAATACAACACACACTCGTGTGTTCGTTCACCGGAGGGACCAAGATAAAGGAAGTGCCCCCCCATTCGCAGAATACGGAGATGCAAACGTACACGCATTTTTTGTCCCAAAACTATGGCTTGCGTATTGCACAGTCGGGCTTTGTTGTTGCTAAACTCAGTTATTACTGACATATCGCCTGAATTCATCGTGAAACCGCGTTTAATCGTTTACCGTAATGTCGAAATTTCTTTGAACGTAACTCTAACAATAGAATCGATTCTAGAGCTCGGCTTATGTTTTGACAAACTTCATTCAACAAGTCTGCTGCCGCAACAACGGAATTTATTTTACAACTTGACTAGCCTATTGGCAGAATTCGTTCTGACACTCAGCTGATGTAAAAAAAAAAAACATGATACCCCCCAGCATAATGCTAGAACTATAGCCCTTCACTCCACACAGGTTATAGCCTAGTTATAAGTTCTATAGTTATAAGTTTTATAAGTTCGAAGCGGTATAGTTCTAGAGCTACGCGCATTCCAAATACAGGAGTGAATACGTGAAAACGTACGCGCGTTTTTTGTGGAAAACTTGGCGTGCGTAGCAGTCGTGTTTGTTGTTGCTAAACTCTGTTATGACGTATCGCCGGAGTTTCATCGTGGAGTTGTATTTAACGTATTTGTCGGAATTTCTTCGACGTAACCCTCTAACAAATAGAATCGATTCTAGAGCTCGGCTTATGTTTCGACAACTTCATGTAAAACAAGTTGGCTCCCGCAACAACGGAATTTATTTTACAACTTGACTAACCTATTGGCAGAATTCGTTCTGACACTATAGGCTGAAGTAAAAAAAAAATATCACATTATGATTCTACAACCCTGCTGCGATTTTTTAACAGGATTCGTTCTAAAGCTGAACTAATAATGCTCTAAATTAGGTCGTAATTAGTCGTTGATTGCTAACCTCACGGCTATGAAGCTTCATCAAGTGTGAAGACTTTAAAACACATCAGGGGTGGGTGATGCACACAGACTGATCTGGCCAAACACTACTGCTTCACAGTATCCAACACTAAGCTTGCAGAATCGATGCACGGGGTAGCGGCAATGGCCACACGCCACTCAGTAGGGTCAGTCCCAGAGCCTCCACTATCATCCACTCACCATCATCACCTGCCGATTGACCACCACCACGTAGTGGAGCTGTAGTAGCAGAGCAATAGCGAGAGTAGACAGCAACAGCAGCAGTAGGCAGTATCAGGCAGCAATAGCAAGTAAGCAGTAGCAAATAGGGCAGAAGCAGCAACAGCAGCATAGTCAGCAAGACAGCAGCAGTTAGCAGTAGCGCAGCAGATAGCAGTACAGTAGCAGTAGCAGTAAGCAGTTAGCAGTAGGCAGTAGCAGTAAGCAGTAGACACAAACAGCAGCGGGTGCAGCGTTAGCAGGCGCAGTAACAGTCAGCAGTAGAAGTAGCAGCAGCAGTAGCAGTAGCAGTAGCAGCAATAGGCAGCAGTAGCGAGTAGCAGTAGGCAGTAGCAGCGAGCAGTAGCGAGTAGGAGCAGCAACTGTAGTCCACCACCAACACCACCTTCCACACCTTATTCCACACCTATTCCCCACCTCTTCCACCAAGCTAACCACACAACACCCGCCACCGACCATCACCACCACCACACTACCACAACACAA